TTTTGAATATTTATTTTTTAATTTTATCTCTTAAAATTTAATTTTTATATTAATTATTATTAATTATTATTTTTTCTTATTATTTTTTACTAAAAAAATTTATCTATCAAATGTGGTCCTTGTTACTTATTTTATTTGAAATAATTTATAAAATGTTAACTTTTTCTTTTTAGATTTGATTTTTTTATTTATTTGATTTAAGATAATTTATGAAATTATATATTTTTAAATTTTATTCTCATTCAACCTTTTAATTTGTAACATTTGGTTATCATTATTTTAATAAACTTGAAAAAATAAAATATTAATAAGTTATTTTTTAACTTATTTTTTATGACATAATAAAATACTAAAAAATATTTTCTAATTTATTTTTCATTACACTACTAAATATTAAAAAATAATTTTTTTATTTTTTTTTTTTAAATTTACTTTCTGAAAAAAACTAATTTTCTGCATTAGGTAAGGAATTTTATACAGCTGTATTAGCAGCCGCTTGCTACTCAAGGAATTTGGTGGATTTCTACCTTGGTCTTTGAAATCATTCTACCGCTAATAAGTTACATTCTACAGGTGTTTGCATTGTCTAGTTAGATTTTTGCTTTGGTTTAGGCCAAGGAATTTATCAAAGGGATCGTAACTTTACAAAAAGTTCCAGAGTCTAAGGCTTACAAGGCCATCGTCTCATCTGTTCACATGAGTATTTATTGACTTTGTAGGACATCAGCGAGGGCCAAAAGTCACCAGCTTCTCAAGCTGGAGTGCCTCCAGTCAGACAAGAAACCAAGGGCAGACAGATGAACACCGAATTACCTGATATTAAGCAAGAACTTCCTGTACTTCTAGGCGTGGCAAGGTCACCAGATGACATGGAGACAAGCACCTCAAGAACCCAGAGTTTGGATGTGGAATGCTTACTTCCCCATCCTGAGCATTCTACAAATTCAAAATCCAGTGACTGCCATAACGCTCCATCGAGATTGGACCCATACAGCAGATGGGTTAAACGTCTCAAACCAAGTGCTTCAGATTCTTTTGGTTATGGTACTAAAAGTTCAAAAGTTGAAGAAGCATTATCCCGTCGGAAATTTAATAAGTTGATCGGCAAAATGCCAAGACATGGGAAAAGTATTTCAGAACCAAAGAAAAGCAATACTTGCGGTAAAGAGCAGGCGGTGACAGATCAGACTGCAGAGTCACCTAGGAACGCTAAATCCTATTCCACTTACTTGGCAAGGAAAAGTCAAGAAATAACACTCTCTCATGCTTGGGTTCAGAGGTGGTGTCATAAGCCATCTGCATCTCCAAAAAAGAAGCCCATGGCTGTGGTAGTTTCTGAGCCAGAATGTTCAGTGGCAACACTAGACTTCCAGAAGAAGCAGTTTGCTAGCATTGCTGCTATGGCTCTGATGGGGAAGGCCATGAGTGGTTTTCGTCCATGTGAATTCAGAAAACGGGGGTCTTCTGTCATCTGGAATACCAGGGGATTCAGAGATGAGCTTTCCTGAGAAAATGCTAGGATTGAAGAGCAATACAGGCAGCCACAGCATGTGCCGGTTATCCTAGCAGTTGACATTAGTGCAACAAGTTGAAATCTTTATCCATCAATCCTCCATCAGATCAGTAGACTGGAGATGGAGTCTGTAGAGCCTGAATGTTGCTTTGTTATGTATCCTGCCTGAATTTGTTTATATTTCCTGCTTTCCACCAGTGATCAGATAAGGCATTGTGGATGGATCTTATGTGAGATTTGGAAGAGGCCTTGTTTCATCAATGTAGCCATTTAGGTTGAGAAAGGGCAACCCAGCCCCTGCTGCTTCACATTGCAAATCTTAAAGAACATGGCCACATTCAAGCATGTCACCTATTGATCCTCCATATGCACTGCAAGCAAACTGGAGTAATGCTGTAATACCTGGAATCAGAAACTAAAAATAAAAGATTTAAAGAATGGAAGGGATTGTGCTTCGTCAAATGTAGATGCGTAATAATCGCATATCCATGTACAGTTTGCATGCAGAAATATATCAGCAGACCTCACATCAGCTTTGGTTTTCACGTGTACACAAGTTTGGTCTTTGACTTTTGATATTTTAATATGGTTTTTGTGGTTAGACATTTATGATATCATTAGTTTGAAAATGGAAGAATAATGCTTGACTAGGTATGAAAGAACAACGAACTGGGTGAGCGTTCTTCCTTCCTCTCTCGAACAGTAATTCCCATTCCTCTCTGAGCTCTGGTATACAACTGCATTTTTTAGAGTTCATCTTCTAAGAGGCAGGCAACTGTAGGTGCACATCATTTTAGGTTTGTTCTTTAGTATGCTGCTTGTATGTCTTGTTACCTGAGAGAATACTGTAAACAGGTTGTGGCTAACATCTGCCATGATTTCTCAAACCCTATTCGTCAAGAGAATGAGAATGTATGTGGTGTAATGAAGCTAGTGAAACAATTTAGATGCCCTGGGATTACTGCACAATCCCCAAGTCTTGCCATTTTGTTCCAGGTTTTTTAAATGTGAGCTTGTTTAATTTTTGGTGTCAGCAGAGCACGTTGTTCAGGAAGGTGGATTATACTGAACTGGGGGTGCACCAAAAAGCCTGTGCCATAGTGGATTTGTTGTACTCTTCATATTTATCTCTTGGTTATGCCATGAGCCGGGGGCTAAACATAAAATGCAAGCCTTCCTTTTAGTTCAGTGAACCTTTCCCTTAAGATGTAGCTCTCTTCCAAGTTTTGATAGAGCAGTTCTGATCCAAAAAACTTGTGCACAATTTATACTACTTTGAATGGAGTTGCTCCCTTTGGTTCCCTCTCTCACACGGAATGAGAATTCAGGAGGGAAAAAACAGTTATACTCTGAATTAAAAAAATAAATCAAAATTCATTGCTTTATACAAGTCTATAATACTTGGCATGAACATGTGAGAGGTTTTTGTTCATGTTTTACGTGCAAACAAAAATTAAAGCTAGGGAATTATGTAGCTGTTTCCTGACTGCCAGTTATGAAGTAGCTTTTATAGAAAGGACCATATCTTGCCTGGACTTGAAGCTTGGATATCGAGATAATATCCAATGGCCAAAAGCCGACAGTGTCAGCATCAGGGAACTCAATGATCACAAATGACAGTTCCATTCTTAACTTGGCACCCTGTCTGTTCTAGAGCAGATTCAAAGAAACCACCTCCATGAATATTCGAATCTATACATGGTGGGGCAAATTGAATGATGACGTCTCTCAATGTCAGCAAACCTGCTGGCTGCTGTGCATCATTTACTAGAAAGCAAAAACAGCCTTTGGTCTCCGCCAAGTCTTTCATGGCTTGCTTGAGAGTGTTGCTCTTTTTGGTACTAACTGGCGAGTCCATTTTCGGAAGGAAGTTGTTTCTCAATTGAAGAGCTCCGGCTGCGAATAGTGCCCCCAGGTCCCTTTCAAAGGTGCCATCAGAGTTTTCTTTTGCAGTTTCTGTGTGAATGAACTCCCCAGCAGTTAGCCTCCTGCGAGTATTTAAAACACGTCACTTTTTGGGGGAAATGAATAATGGTCCTCCAGCAGTTGAAGAAATGGTCCTCCAAACCTACTTTCTGTCACCAAGTATTTCGTTATTCTCTAACAAAAGATAAACATCACTGTTCCTTATGCAACCGATAACCTTGTTATTTTCACGATTCACCACAGCAACTACGCCACTTCGGCTTTCTCGCAAAATATGAAGAGCTTCTGCCAAGCTTCGATCTCCGTATACAAGATCAACACGCTCTTCGTTTCCAAAACTGTGCAAGGAAAAAGAAGGGTGAACAAGCAGCTTAATGGTTTACAGCTCCAAACAAAAAATGAGCTGAAACATTAATTTTGGTCAGGTGTACCGAAACTCAGATAAAGCCTTGTCTGCAATGCTATCAAACCATTCTAGCCCACTTGATTGAAGCAACAGCTGTATCACTGCATTCTAACAAAAGCATCGCAAATTATTTACCATCAGAAAAAAAGACCTGAAATGTCATCACAATTACTTATCCTCCTTATTTTCAATCGATCAAAACCAGGTTAGCTTTCAACAACTATAGAAGAGCAACAGTAAAATCTCCAAAGATTTGAATCAGATGATGGCACACACAACATTAAGAAAGAACAAGTTTCAACCTGTGTTACAAAACCAATGCCCTGAAAGCTGGATCTCTCTATGACAGGCACAACTTGCAGCCGGTGGTGGTTGGAGAGAAGCAGCAGAACGTGAAATAGTGTGTCATCCAAGTGTACAGGGAAAAATGGATCCCAAAGGTATGACTTGGCTAACTCCCCAACCTGATAAGACAGCACAAAACATAACCATTATTTATCCAATAAAACTTAACATAAGCCAAGAACATTAACCATTTGAATGCATCAAAAACTACTGTAAACACCTTGTTAAAGCCTTCATTGTATCATAAGAAAAGGATACCTTAGTTTGTCCAATTTGAGGATTATCTTCAAGCATGGTGAACATGCTACTTTTTCCATTCTCATCACCGTCAGTCCCTCTGGTTTGCATATGAGCCTTTTCACATTCCTTTAAATTTCAAAGACCGCTTAATATGGACATTAAGTGAAAAAAACTGCAAAATTTGCATTTGTTCAGATGGTGAAGGTCTCAAGTTATACCTCAAGAGCCCAAAGAACCATGCCAGCTAAATCTATGTACCCCACATACCGATCCGAAAACCTTCCAATAATGGTATCAGGATCTACAACATCAGCTATAGGAGCACCAGAAACATTCTTCTCAAACAACAAATGTATCGCATCTTTTACTCTATCCTCAATTTTCAATTCCACAACTAAAAAAGAGTACACACAACACAGATCATCATACATTCAATTTAAAACTATTATCAAAACTAACCATATTGAGAGGGAGCAGAAGATTTCGAGTACCGGGAGAACTTTTTATGCCAGGGATAGAACTAATGGGGATGTGATCAAGAAACATTTGAAGGGCACTACCAGAATCAATTTGGTGGTGTTTTTGATCAGCCATGAAGTTGGAAACTAGATTCTCCTTTTTATCCACCAAGCTAAAACCTTCTGGCTGCCTCATTACATCCTCCAATTTCTTGAAGTCCATCATCTTTGATTCTTGCATTGTTAGATTAATTTCACCGCTCTTTTCCCTGTCTGTCAATGCTTCTGTTTCTGTTTCTATATCTTTATGTTCCATGCATATTTAACACGTTGCATTGAAAAGAAGCTCCCAGGTGTAACTGAAGGAAATTCTTGCAACCCCTGAATTGCCACGTAGCAACTCAAGGACTCGGTATTTAAGGGGTTCTTGACCACACTGTTCGAGGGCAAAACACGACAACAACATTGTTTCGTGTGCCATAATGTTAGATTGATTTACCTTGTAAATCTCTTTCTACAGTGAACATAAACACGAAGAAGGTGCATCAATTACCATTTTTTTTTAATATACCAACGTAGTTTGAGTGTAGAATGATCTATTTAAGATGAGTTAGAGAGACTTGATTTCTTTAAGTAAAAGTTTACGCTTTAATTTAGATGTAGATGATGTAAAAAAATAAAAACAAGAAGATGGCAGCAGCCTCTTTTAATTTGATGTGGAAGCACAGAAATGATCCAACATTGCACTTCATTGCTACACTTTCTTCCATGAGATCCAATGTCTAAGCTATTCCAATATATATGGTAAATGTAAGTTTTATTGCAAGCATTTAGAAGGCTCATTTCATTATATCTGACAAAATATAATTTTTTTATAGTCTCTTATAAATACTAGCACCAAGTTGACCCAAAGCACTAACTAGTTAGCTCTTTGATTTCTTTATGAACTTACATCAGATCATAACTTGGGCTCTATTTTTACAAGCAAGGAGGGATCTTGCAATTTACGTAGGATAAAGTAGGAGCAGCTTGCTTGCTTCTTCTTTCGCGTCCAAAATGCTGCATCGGATTCTTTAACAGGCACTCAGAAGTGCTTCAAAATGTTCTCATCTCAACACCAACTTGAAACCAAGTCCTTGATAAATAGTTGAGATCCATCATCTATTTAGATAACTGTGCCATCCTCTATTGTTGCCTTCTCCGATATGATGGTGATTCCAGACCGAATGTAGAATCCTTCTTCTTCCCTATCTGCTTCTTGCACACCCTGCAAAACCAAAGCATTGAGATATATGCATGCAGAAATTTGCATAAGAGTCCTACTGAGGACTCCGTATAGGGGCATAGTTCGCAGAGAGGTTACTTACGTCTTTATTCATGATGATAACATCGTTCCCTATCTTCGCATTTTTGTCAATTATACAATTCCTTCAGAGAAAAAAACCATAAACTTTTTGTCAGAAATCACCATTTCTATACCCTTGTAGTCTAATTAAAGAAGTACAAAAAAAAGAGGAGGGGGAAGAGGATGGCATCCATATATTTCGTTTTAAGTTCATTTTACTTTCCAATACTGGGTCCAGTACCTGATTTTTGTGTTCCTTCCTACACCAATTGGGATTTCACCCTCTGCCAGAAGAGAGGCAATTTCAACTTCAGTTTGGTAGCAGTCTGCCCCAAGCATCACGGTATCCTGAAGACGAACAAAAGAGAGTAATTGTTACTCGTTCACGTATCCAGAAAAGAAAATATAAAGAACGGAGAAAACGCCGATGGGTCACCTTTAACTCAACACCATAATCTAAACGTGAGCGTTCGCCGACCACAGAGTGTTCCACAGTGCATTCTCTCAAGAAACATCCATGGGAGATTATTGCATTGACAATCTGAAAAATCCGACTAAAACATCAGAAGGGATGTAATTCATTAAATCCACAAAATGGATCCCAAAGTATACCAGCATACCCGGCATTTGTCAAATTTGGTCGGTGGTGAGAATCGAGGAGATGTGTAGAAGGGTGTCTTTGGGTCATAAAACTCGAACTTCGGAGGCTGCAGAAAATATATTGTAAATGAAAAACATGATTCTTGTCTCAGTGAAAAGAAATTCAAACATACATACTTGAAATAATATGGAATGCTAATTATAAATTGCGGAGGCATGGAAATCCTGATGGCTATGCCTATATTGCATCAGGAGTCAGAACTCTCTGTAAGGCAGTCATGCTTCAGATACCTTCTCATCTTATATGATTACAACAGCATGTTCGACAAAAAATCAAGAGAGAAGGTGCCCAAATTCATTGAAAGATAGAAAAACTAGCAGGAAAAAAAATATTCTTCAGGTGACATTAGCTGCTACATTTCTATACCCTTTCGATTTACATGATAAGTATGAGATGCCATAATCGGAAAACTAACCTCTTCAGCGAGGGCCAAGTTAGCTTCATAGAATGACTTTATGGTTCCTATATCCTCCCAGTAGTCTTTGAAAATATATGCCTGCAAACAAGGTTACATCAGCATTATATATTCTAGTGGACACATACTTGGTCTAGACAGTAAAACGAGCCGAATATGAAGAAGCAAATAGCTCAAATTTTTAGTTCTTCCTCGTAAGCACGGTTATTCTTCCGATACACTTCGGTAGAAAAAATAAGCAAGGTGGGTGGAAGGATTTGTACCAGGCTGAAAAATTATCCTTCTACCAGAACAGATATAGAATATTTTAATATTTCTCTTACTTGGACATTGTGCTCCATTACAGCTGCAGGAATGATCTCAGATCCAAAGTCATTCGCTGTGGGATATCTCCACCTCAAAAGTTTTAATAAAAGATCTGTTTTAAACACATAGACCCCCATTGATGCAATATAGGGAGACTTCATGGCGTCTTGCGGAGACAACCCTAGACGAGTAGTATCTGCTCGCTGCATCAAACAACCAAAATATATTAACAAAAAAAAAAAAAACTAATTCCTATAGTAACTTTACTGTGCACACAGAATCATATTATTATTTGTTGTAATTGTAAAATTACAAAATTGCCCTTAAAAAAATCAAAGGGTAGGATTGTCCTTTTATCATAACTGCCAAATCTGTCATTTCCCAATTTTTTCACAAAAAATAACTACTCGCCTTGAAATAAAATAATGTAAAGATTTTAGCTTAGAAGTGTTTTTATCCATTCATCTCTATTGAAATAGTGTAACTATTGGAGACAAACAATTAATTCTCTCATAAGAGTTTTTTTTTGGGTTTGGTCATACATTAGTTTTGTTATAGATTTAAAGATTGTTTAAGGAAATTATTGTAATTGTGATAAAGTAAATATTATTAAAAAAATCTTTAAATGTTCATGCAATGTTTATAGAAATATCCAGTCGTCAAAAACTACCATCTATAATGGTGTTTAGAAGATCTTGATATACTTTTCTTTATTCTTTTCTTTTCTATCTTGAAATTTGCACCACCTCTGTAAGATTTCAAAGCAACTATTTCTTCTCTCTTTTTTTTCATGTTTAGTTCTCATCATTTTAGTTGCTATTTTTTATTTTAGAATAACCTATATAATCATAAATTATTTTCAATTTTACCCTTATTTTTTTAATTTATAAATAATTTATCAAATTATATTTTTTTCAACTTCATATCCTATTATTTTTTTAATATATAGATATCTATCAAATTACAAATATTTTTTAATTTCATTCATATGAATTTTACTCCGCCCACAACAGAAAAGTAGTGATAAATCTAGTTTGCAACTAAAATTCAAGTCATTCAAAATGATCTGAATCTGATAGTCCTTTTATCACTACAGCATTAACTAATTACGTAAGGAAACCAGATGATCAGAATTTCAGATCCTATATAGAAATTAGGATGTTGTAGCAGTCTTAAGGCAAATGATAGAGATTTACATTTTTCTGATCCTACATTTGAAAGAAGATGAAGCCTGGTGTCATTTTGCTTTGTTCTTCATAATCTTGTGTTACTTACTTTTCAGAAGTATAAGCAGGGCATGCATGTGGATGCAGATTCAAGGGATGCTATTACAAAAGTAGGTCTAAACATATGAATTTTGAAATTCTCACCATTTCTCTCAATTCAGAACCCTTTGGCTTTTCAGTGAATTGGAAAATTTGGCCCCTGCCGTCTATCTTCACCAGTCCATAATCTGATGCCCGGCTACAAAGTAGTCAAGACGAAATGTTATAGGAAAAAAGTTTTCCTTAGAATAAAGAAACCAAGAAAAAATATCACTTGAAGCACAGCTAAAGGCTCAACAGACCTCTCGCCCACAGCAGCACATGAAATTGTAAAATCAGCATTGCTATCGATATGATGCTGTTGATTCATAGCAAACAGGCAAGCCAGAGTTTAAGAAAAAGTTAAATATATTCAAAGTCCATGTCATTAGAGGAATAACGGCATACTTGCACGAAGTCCATGTAATCCATTCGGTAAAGGTGATCTCCAGATAAGACAAGTATATTCTCAATGTTCCTGTTCTTGGCATCCTACAAGAGCCAACATAATTCATAAGACTCCAATTCAAGCGGCTGAAGAGTAATGTGGAGTACAGTTACTTATATGAAGATGAAAATGGCCTTATAAGTATTCATATTCACCTCAAAAACCCATGTAAATTGCCTCACGGCATCTGCTGTTCCTTGGAACCACTTCATGCCTGCTTCCCCAGGTGTTTGAGTTGCTGCTAAAACCTGTTTATCAAATGTGTTTATTATCCATCACTACGTTACGAAAGAAGCATGTTAAAATTAAGATTTGATGCAATTTCCTCAATTAAATTCCATGGTATTATAAGAACTCCAGATTGGATAATGTCTGATCAATGTTGTCTTTGAGGTTTTCTTATCAGACATCTGCCAAGATAGGATGATTAGCAGTTTCTTGATCAGGTCATTGACAAGAAGATTTACCAAAAGTAACTTCTAGTATTGTACCGTGGTAAATTAGGAAATGTGAAATATGATTATATATCACTGGAAGAAAACTAATTTCAAGGTTTGATTGCTTTCTCTCAACACATAAATCCTGCGTAATAGAAAAAGGATAGCAAATGGCATCCTGGATTCTGTTTGCAGGAAATTTCCGATTCCAAAAACTGAAGTCAGAGAAATAAATACTCTAAGAATGGAATCATACCTCCACAAATCCATCCCCAAAGATAATTCCATTTCCGAAATACGTGCGCGC